ATCATCATCATCATCATCATCATCATCATCATCATCATCATCATCATCATCATTGTATACAGCAGATAGTAGTACACTTGGTAGTATTACCAAAATATTTAATGACCAGTTCAATGTTTCGCCCTCAACGGGCTTCATCAGGAACATTCAAAATATAAATTACTATTTCTTGTCATTTTGTAGGTTTTTTTGTGTGCGCATATTCTTGTCTAAGCAACATTGAGTACCATGATGACAAATTTTCTGTGTAACCTACAAACATCAGGCACCACGACATACGGACAAAAATCTCATCTCCATGTAGGTTTGAGACGTAAATATTGGGCGAAATAAACAGCTCCTGTTTGCGACACCCACCATCCTAACCCCCAAATTAAGCACACAATACTTCTTTCTGCGTTGTAGTTCAACAAGAACCAAACCATGCCACACATCCTCACTGAAGTGTGTCAAGTCAGACAATTCGGTAAGAACCTTCCCTTTTTTTTACCTCCAGGAATTTTGTGTTGTTCCGTCATGCCTCGGTGGACTTCCGGCACCGAGGACATTTTATATTGTAAGGGAGATTATTGGGGTTTACAGTTAGAGTATTTACGCTGTTCGATTAATACGACTGTCCTATTACTGTATGTGGCTGAAAGGTCGTTATAATCTTCTGTTAAATCGACTGTACAGTTTCCGAGCGTGCGGAGAGTAGGGGGGGGGGTTCATCACAAAATAGTTTGTTTACACGTTTCTGCTCAGTTTGAGGAACCGTAGGGGTGAGAAGATAGTGACTTGTTTTGTTGGGGTAAAAGAATCTTCCTGGAGAGAGAGAGAGAGAGAGAGAGAGAGAGAGAGAGAGAGAGAGAGAGAGAGAGAGAGAGAGAGAGAGAGAGAGAGAGAGAGAGAGAGAGAGGTTCATAATTTGAAAAAGACATAATTTAACCCCATGTGCCACAAAGAATATTTCTGAAGTTCGATACAAGTTCTGAGAAAAGTGTAGAGGATTGACTGCTCTCCTTGTGTCTAGACTTGGTGACAATGACATGCGGTGACATGCAAGTAAGCACGTCAGAATCAGTCTCAAAGCAGCACAGCAACTAACTAGAATAATATTAGTAGACTGAAATACTCCGCGATGGTCGCTAAATTGTAAAACAGTTCTGAGCTTCAGACATGGGGGCTATGTACACAAAGATAGACGGGTACAGAGCTAGGCGCCGCCCAGATTATTGTATAGGAACAAAAACACTTCAATTAATTTCTTTGTAAGTAACCGTAACGTGTGCCTAGGTCCTGCAATGGTTTGTTATCTGTTATCGGTAGATCTGTAGGTTATGTGAAAACGTATTTGGGGTGTGGGAGGGAACAGAAGAGAAAGAAGGAGGG